TCTTGAGTCTGATCCTCAGTACCAAAAATAGAATAGAAAAAATGAAGTTTTATTTTTTGGTTTATTTTTTAGGGACCAAGCTCAGGGCCTTGTAGCACTTATTCTACTGAGCTATCGCCCCAGCCCTGTTTTTGTCTCTTTGAGACAGGACCTCATTGCAGCTCAGGCTGGCCTTGAGCTCAATTTGTAGTCCAGGCTGGTCTCAAACTCGAAAGGATTCTCCTACCTCAGCCTCCTGAGTGCTGGGATCACAGGTGTGAGCCACGTTTATTATTGAACGGAAGTAAAACTCTTCCCTTCCCCATCTCACGCATCTCTACCCCAGGGGCCCTGCCCCTTAGCTCAGCTCTTTAAGTGGCTGCTTCCACAAAGCAGTCAGGCTCAGGTGGCTGTGGTTCCATCCCCACAACTCAGGCCAGCCAAACCGCCCTGAAGGCATTCGGAGCAAAGAAAAAAAAAAAAAAATCCTCACGTATCTCTACCCCATATCCTGATTTCCTCATCATCCTTCCCGGAAGCGAGTTCGGAAACCAAAGGAGACCAGACATCCTTTCTTTCTGTACAGTTTTTAATTTTTAATTTTTTGATGTTTGTTGTTCAGATGAATGACACACTCAAGTTACAAAAATGGGGCCTTAAAAGAAGCACATTGTACAATGAACAAGCAGATTGGAGTTAAGAACACTGAAACGCTAACCCGCTACCACGCGAAGAGACAGGGAAGGGGGGATGGGGCGGGAGAGGAGGGGCTACCAACACAAGGGTCAAACAACTGAAAGGGGGGGCTAACGTGGTGGGAATAGAGAAAAGGCAGGTGTAGCCAGGAGCCACTCAACACTTGGATGCCACTTCCTGTCTCCTGTGCCCACCACTTGCCCCACTACCCTAAGTCTCCCTTCCCCGTTCCAACCTGATCAAAGTGAGTAGATGAGAAACACCCACCTCAGAAAGGGCTGAAGGGTCAGATCTTTACAAGGTGGGTGGTCCCCCTGTCCCAGTACAGTCCTGGATCTGGGAGGTGGTGGTGGCAGCAGTGGGACAAGAAGCCAAAAGAACTAAAGGAGCTGATTAAAGGTCAAGCCCCTGCATGTCCCCAAAGACTCCTGCCTCTTTCCCCACCCCACCGATCCAAAGGCTCTCTACAAATTGTCTAGAGAGGCCCCTGTCACCCTGCAATTATATAAATAAATAAATACTGGGCCCCAGGGCTTGAGGGACAGGTTAAGAGAAGGGCGGCAGGGACAGAGGAAAGGAAAGGGGAGGGTGTTGGGGAGGCAGAAGGGAGGGGTCACAGACATAGTAAATAGTTGTCTCCGTCCCAGCAACACTCCTCTCTGGATTTTTTTTTTCTCCTTTGTTTGTTTGTTTACAAAGGAACTAACATCTCAAGGACAAATACTTAAAAATATACATTTTTTTCCGCCTTTGTCATCATCGTCTTGCTTTGGAGACTGCTGAGGTCAAAGTTTAAACCGCATGAAGGAACTGCGGCTTGGAGTTTTTGTGTATTTTTTTAAATTTTTATTTAAATTTTTTTTCACTTTTTTTTTCCAACGTATAAAAAGGTAGCGGAGTTGTCTGTGGGTTTTTCTTAAATGGTTAAATCTTTGGTTTGTTTCTTTTTTCTCTTGGAGGCCTTTATCTCTCGCACTTGCCTTTCCCACTAGAGACTGTGGGGGCCCGCATGTCTCAATCTTGCGCTGCCTGTCTCCTCTCTCATTCAGCCCGCCCCCCCTCTGGGCTAGAGGAAGAGAGGCACCCTAGGTTTGGGGTGGGTGAGAGAAAATAGTCAAGAGGTCCTCACTACTTGGCTAGTTCCTTACTGGGATTTCCCAGGGTGCTGGAACTAGAGACACTCTTGGCCTTCTCCAGAGGAGTGTGTGGAGAACTCACGCCTTTTCTGATCTCAACCCCAACTTCTCAAAGGTCTTGGGAGGCCCTGTCACTACCCACCCCCATACACACTTCCAGCCTTTTCCTTCCATGTCAAGGACTCTACCTTCCTCCTCCTCAAGAAGAGAACAGAGAGGTGGTTTGGTTACTGGCATCTTTTTTTTTTTTTTTTTTTTTGGCACAATTAAAAGGCCCACTTGGGGTAGACCCAGTCTCTGTCCCTCCTTTAAGTAGGAGGTCAGGGGTGAGGACAAGGACAATTCAGAGGGCTCCCTGTTGCCCCAGTCCACTGACTTCTCTCTAGCCCAGGCCCTTGACCTCCACCCGACATCTTGAGCTAACCCAGAGCCTGGCCTGGGGGTCTCCTCCCTGTCCCCACAGAAAGCTCCCCAGCCCTCCAACTTGCTCACACACAGACACACGGACACAGGCTCTGTACAAACCACAAAATAAAAACGATGAGATAGTTTTGTTTCCCGGAGTCAAGACGGGGGTCTGGAGTGCACAGCGTAGGTGGGGTGGGGGCGGGAGTCACCCCTTCCCCTTCCCAGCCCTGGCTCCCTCCAGCCCGGCCCCTTGCCCTGGCTGGCCCCCAGCCAACGATATTTGGTTTCCTTTTTTAACATTAAAGTTCTATGAGGTATTTGGTGCCTTATCTCGAGTCCTCGGGGGAGGGGGTCCCAGGGGGGAGACCTGGGGCTCACCTGCCCCTCCCTCCCTCCCTCCCACCCCCTTCCCAATATTTGGTTTCACAGCTGTAGTTAAAGCTTGGGATTTGGTTATTTTTTCCCCCTCCCAGGGATTTTCTTTTTTCTTGTTTTTCCTTTCCCAGTTTTGGGGGCTGGATGGGGAGGGTCCCCATCACCCCCAGCTGCAGGGGTGTCCCTCCACCAATGTCAGGGCGTTGCCCCATCCTGTCTGCTTCCTCCCCTCTTTGCCCCACTGCCCCGTGCTGGGGTGGGGAAAGGTCCCAGGCGAGGGACTGGATGAGGAGGAAGCAGGATGAAGTGGGTGGTGGTGAGTCCTGGATTTTCTTTCTCTTTTTTTTTTTTTTTTTT